AGGATTGACTTCCTCTTCCGTGGGGCGTCCGCATTGCTCACGACTCCCACGCTTACATTTCTCTCTCTCGTTCCTCCCTTCTCCCCTCCCCTTCCGCTCCCCCCCCACCCCGATCCTTCTGTCCTGCTCGGTTTCCTCTGCTTCGCTGACCTGTCCCTCCCGTCTGCCGGCCACCCTCTCTAGGCCGTCGCGAAGCCGACCTCCCCAAACCCCGAGCTCCGGACATGAGCTCACAGAGCACTTGCGGCTTTTCGGGCCAAAGGTCACCCGACGGTGCGTTTACTCAGGAGCTCTGCGGTTATCCGCAGGGACGAGACTCACCTCCTCTTCTGTAAGAGTCGGGTCTTCGTGCCGGGACTTGTAGGACAGTGAGCTAAATCTCTGTGAGAAAAACAAATCGAGACACGGTGCACGCCGTCAATACCCGACCTGCCTCTCGTGTGTGTTCTGACGCGTCTGTCTACGAAACGTTTTCAAACGATTTTGAGGGACAAAAGTTATTTTCTACAAAGATGTAAAGCACCGGAGGAAGAAACCAAGAAACAGAAACCCTGTTATGTGATCATTTTGGATACCCAGTCGAGAAACGCCTTCCAGTTTGGTATTTGACCGTTTAGGTACAAATACGCCGACAGTTATGAGGCTTCCTAATTGTCGTGGATGGATCGATCATCTATCCATGATACATTGGTGATAAAAAGAAAATCACGTTTCTCTATCGAATGCCTGAATCCGTATTTCTACGGTTTGTGCAAATCCACAGAGTCTACATCACCCGCTAATGGAGACATCAGCTCACATCGGTGGCCTGTTCCCGGCCTCGTTTCTCGATTCGGGCTCCTGGTTCACTAACTCTCTCCCGTCTAGATGAAATCCTTCCTGACTTCAGCAAATACGCACCTTTCACACCCGGCCCTTCAGTTCCGTGACCCCCCGCACTGCCCTGGCCCCCGCCGGCCTCATGACGCATCTCCTGGCTTTCTCGTGCCCTAACCCCCCCCAATCCTTGCAGCCCCAAAAAATCGGCATTCAAGCTCGCGCCTGCAGGAGCCCTAGTCCCACAGCCCTCCAACCATCTGACCGCTCTTTCCAATGTCCACTTCTCGGTGTCTTTCCGTTCTGCTCGGTCGAGCTTAAACTGCAGATTCGGCTCCGCTCAGCTCTCGTGAAAATGCCTGAACGGCTTTAGGCAGCATGAACTTTATGCTCGTTTTACTCTCTGGTTATACGCAGGGCAAAACTTAGGCTGCGTTTCTGTGTTTGACGGCTACGTTCATCAACGCTTTCTTTGGTGCTTTCGACAGCTGATCTCGTGGAGAATGGAAAAAGCAGAAATGCCCCAGAGAACTCGGCGAAGAATCACTCACTTGCTGTAGCCTAAGGAGTCACAGCCGGGTTCACCTTTTGACCATGACTCCAGACGTGTTTTTAAGGCTGACTAAGCTCTCCTTGGCCTTCCTACCACAGCCTGAGAGGAGGACCTTGCTTTTCTCTGTGTCGAGAGTAGAAATTAGAAGCCCGTGGCCTACAGCAGACTGAGCCTGGCGAGGGCCCGAGGGAACGGGGGCAACTGCAGCCGTGGGCGTCCAGCTCCTGGGCTCCCGAACCAAGTCGCCAGACGCCCGGAGAGGTTCAGGGACCTCAACTTAAGTGGGGCAGGTTTTTGTTCAGAAATTGCCACCGATTCAAAGCTTTTACTTGATTTAGATAAAAGTATTACGTGATCAGACTCAGCCAGTGGCACCTGGGGGTCGGTCGGTCCCTCGTGTGTGGTCCCTAGGCTTTGACCTCTGTGAACCCTAGGCTTTGACCTCTGTGACCCCGGGAAGGTAAGCTCACCTTGCTGCAGTAAACGGAAGGGGCTAAAATGAGAGGCTGAGACTCTCGTCTCTCTGTGTAATTCTCGATCTTCCAAAGGCAGAAGACGACCCTTGGCCTCGATCTGAGACATCCAGGTGGGGTGCCAGAGAGACACATCTATGCACGTGAGCTTCCGGTCATTTGTACTCAGAGCGGGGAGGTCAGAGAGCCCGCCCTGAACCAGCTTTCGCCCGCACTGGACACGAGCCGCGTGTGTGTCCCTGAACCGTGTGTGCGTCCCCGAACCAGTGCCAGCAGAGCCCCGGGAGGACCGAGCGTTACCGCGACACCCACACGCGCCACGACGCTGGCCCACCTTGCTGGTGTCCGAGGCGGGCCCCTCGGGGGCGCGGCCCTCTGTGGCCTTCCTCTCCTCCTCCTCCTGAAGGTTCTCGTTCTCGTCCAGACGTTTAACAGGGACCGGGGGCGGGGCCTCCTCTTCGGGGTCCCCTGGATTTTGGGGGACGTTCTCCGCATCGACGCTCTGCCAGTACTTTCTGTTCCTGTCCACGGAGGCGTACTCGGCGACATCGGCTCCGTCCGGGGCCTGGGGCGCGGGGGGCGCCCCC